AAAACACCAACAAAGAACTGGGAAACAGCTGGCTGTCATTTTCAAACTAGGGAGTATACACTTAGGTCTCATTTTGCCTTAGAGATGATAAAGCTGCTCTATTCCACTGTACCTATGACTAGTTTAGAAAAATGGTGGGTATTTAGTATGATTAGAATGTTGGAAGGACTCTTAAGAGATCATCAGTCTAATTTCACTTGCAAAGTAGTAGAAGAGGGACCCAGCACTTGCTCGGGTCTTCCACTGGGCTAGTGTTAATGGTAGGGCCAGAGCTAGGTCACAGCTCTCCTGACCTCTCCAGGTACCAGCTCCTACCTCTGCCCCATAGCTGTGGTTCCCAAAGCAAGAGCGATAATGATAACCAGGCCATACAATTTGCTTGGCTTGGCTTAAAGTGTAACATATATGCACCCTTCTTTTGCTAATCAGAAAGCATAGTCAATCTGCATGTCAAACCCTGCTCAAAAAGCCCTCATGGTTCGGCATGCTGAAAGAACAGAGAATAAGCAGTGTTTGCCTGGAAGGCAAGACCCTCATGACCCTTTCTGCTTTTCCCTCTGTGCTGCCCTATAAAAGCCCTGAAAGGCCAGGAGAAGAGACTGGGGAGTCATTAATTAGAGAGAAATAAGGCTGCACATACAACAGCCAGAGTGCATCTCCAAACCGGCAGGAACACTTACATTCCTACATAACTCCTAGAACCAGGGGCTATCAAAAGTATTAGCTGCCTTAGCTCTTATGTCTCTTAGGGTCCACAGATAGGTGAAGATACAAAACTGACCCAAGTTTAAAAAAAATACTGCCTTGTGTCTACAGGTAGGCTCAAACTAAAACTTAAGAGTTGAAAGAGGCAGTTCTAGTCCAGCAGTTCTCAAACCAGGCTCCCTGGCATCGCCTCAGGGGCCCGGGGGTGGCAGCAGTCTCTTCCTTTCGACAAACTGCTCTGCTCTTACTTGTTTAGGCTTGAAGGAAAGGTGTTCTGCTTTTAAATAAAAGTTTAAAAATTATGCAGACTCTCATATAAAAGAGTAAGCAGAGCACTATCTCACTGAACTGAGATTCTAGATCAGCTTTCTGTTGTTGTTAATCCTCACCGGAGGATATTTTTTCATTGATTTTTAGGGAGAGTGGAAGAACGAGGGTAAGACAGAGAGAGAACAAAGAAGGAACCAGAGGTCAAGAGATCTGCCTTGGTCATGAGGCAGGCTGACAGGATGGGGCTGGGACTAAAACCTTGGGGTCCTACTGCCCGTTTCGTACTGGTTCCTCTTCCTGTGCAACACACAGAGATACACTAGGCATGCAGACACACACAATCTCATGCATGGGCCTGTGTGTTACCTTCCTTGTACCTGGAATACCAAGTTGCAACCATATGAATCCAGATGACAGGGTGTGTGAGCCCCCAGGGAGCCAATCCACAATGTACTTTCCCGTCCATTTCTTCCACGAAACCCGAAGTCAGACCATATCACATCCTGTTTTGAAAATAAAGTTATAGTACATTAAGAATCAACCCATTCCTCTGTATGGTAGTGTTGCACATTAGTCTGACATAAACCCAAACCCATGGAATTAAAAATTATATATAAGCTAGAAGAGAGCAAACTAGTGAGCCAGCTTGCAGGTTTGGTTTTATTCATTTTTTTCAATCGTAATTATTTCCTACTGAGTTTAAGAAAACAAGAAAACTTCCATGCACAGAATGTAGTCCTACATGCTGACACTTCTTTTATCAGTATCTTCAATCTATATTTTCTATTTTTAGAGGCAAACCATTAACAGCTGTATTCAGAGAAAGAATATTTTGGGGAGACATTTAATGGATGGTTTTGAGGAAGATTAGAATGAACATTTCCATTTTTGTTCTGAGTGATGAAAATAGCAGAACATGTGAACATAACTAAGGTCTGTTACAGAAGGGGGAATTTTCGCAAGGTCAGCACCACTGTAAAAGCCTATGGCTCATGTGCAGCCACTCCAGGGAGTGGCAAAAGTCATGTGTCTTCTGGATATAGCCCATAAGCTCCACGCAGTGACTCAGCTCTGCATTCCCAGAGTCTAAAATTACACCTGCCTCAGGGTGAGGGCTCATAACACTGGCTGCTTGGGAAGGAGAGAAGACTCTGTGGCCTGGTTATGGGTAAATGGTTCAGGCCAGGAACATTTTAAAGCATCTATCACATAGTTGGTATGACACTGGGTGTTTGGGATACAAAAATTAATGCAACCCAGGCCCAGCCTTCAAATCTAATAAAGAAAGATAGTCCCATAAGTGGAACCTTTCACTATAATGTGGCAGGATGCTCTGACAGAAGTGAGCAGATAACCAAAGAAGGACGCCTGGTCGCCAGCAGGGAGCTTGGGGAAGGCTGCCAATGAACCTGGGTCCCTGTTGAACAAGTCATCACACCTCAGTCTGGAATTTAGCTAAAGGCAGCTTAAAGACATGCAGTATAAAAACAAAAAGCGGGGGTTTGCCTTAGCTAAGAAGCAGCTGGTTTAAGTGATTCTTAATTTTCTTCTAGATACACTCCCTTGGGAATCTAATGAATGCCAACGCCCCTAACCACAGAGAAATGCAAGTGCACACAAAATTTCTTATGTTTTGCGGGAGTCGAAGCACTGACTGCAGGCGAGAAGCTCTGTTCCACAGCATTGCTTCAGAAAGAACCACAGAAAAAAGGTTTTCTACAGGATGGGGGTTGGGGGAGTGGAGTTAATATATGAGAAACTGACAAGAGGTTTCCCTGACCTCTTATCTACCACAATATTGATTAAAAAAGGGAAATTGTTTGGGAATGATTAGATCAAGGTGACCTAAACTACCTACAATTTCAGCAGCATATTGGCTGGGAAACACCAGAGGAGGAAGAGTTGGGGAGGCGGGTGATGGGGTTGCAGAGAAATTGTGAATCAAAGTAAATTTGTCAGGAAACGAACAGCATTTTGTTTCTTTCCCCATAGGCTCTTGAGAGTTGGGCCTTTCTTACCCATCGAGTTTTCAGCTACTTACAGGTAGCCAAATGTCTGAAATCAATATAGGCCCAGGAGGAATCAGCCTCAAGTCTTGCTAAAAACAAGTGACCCTGTTAGGTCACAACATCAGTGAAACCAACAGAGGGGATTGATGGGGTGATCCACCCTGGAATCTATTCTCGCATCCACCTCAAGCACTGGAAAAGTCTTTTTTTTTCCCCCTAATATATTTTTATTGATTTCAAAGAGGAAGGGACAGAGAGAGAGAGAGACAGAAACATGAATGATGAGAGAGAATAACTGATTGGCTGCCTCTTGCACGCCTCCCCTGGGGATCAAGCCCACAACCCAGACATGTGCCCTGACTGGGAATCGAACCATGATCTCCTGGTTCATAGATCGACATTCAACCACTGAGCCATGCCAATCGGGCCAGAGAAGTCTTTAGAAATCATCTATATCCAGAAAATCTTTATTGTTGAAAGTATTACATATGTTCCCTTTTTCCCCTTTGACCTCTTGCTTAACAATAAATGCTATGTAAAACTTACAAAGAATAAATACTTCAATTTAAATTTCAAACAACCCTTAAATGGACATTGCAAATTAGCAAGTACTTAAGGCTCTGTTTTTCCTTAGGAAATTACCTTAATTGACATAAACATAAAACATGGAAGGCTTGGATAAACACCCAAATTCTTACATTCCAATTTGTTTCATCAGAAAGCATTGCTGGCTGTCAAACAAATCCCTTTAAATCATTACTAAACCACCTGGTTCAATTTCAACATACTCTCATAACTATGTTATACAGTAAAGTCCAAGACAGTGAGCTAGAACTAATCTTCCATATATTGCATTTTGGGATTCTGTGTCCTGGTGATTTCCTGACTCTCAGTAGCTAATCTGAATCACAACATAACATGGAACCTACCTGAAAAACATTCTTGGGGCAAGATCCCTTTTGCTGTATATTGATTCTTAATAGCTTCAATTGTGATGATACTTATTGATAATTATAAAAGGTAACACACCTGTCATTCTTAACCTAATGAATCAGAGGTAAAGGAATTTTATATGGAATGTCACAAATTCCCTACCTTCCTTGGGAAGTAGAACACAAAATGTTTCAAATAAATGCTTTACTTAGATTAGTCAATGATATGATACATAACTAAAAATTAGTAAGACTTATTAATTTCATTTTCCACTCATGAAAGTCAGTTAAGTGTCAATATCCTAATTTTGATCACCGGACATTTTCCAATAATATTAGCATATTTGCCGGCGTATTTACCAGTATGTGTATTGCATGTTTATCAGTGGATGATTTTAATTTGTGAAATAACATGGTTAATACATGGAAACTTTGAGTAAAGCTAAGTAAAAACTTATAAAACTAATAGAAGGCTGAAGAGAGCTAAGAATTTCATATCAAGATTAACAAATGCTATAATTGGTTAACTAGAAGCCACAGAAAATTTGACAAGGGTGAAGCTAGGGGTTTAAGTTAAAACATTCTTTGGAGGGCAATAAAGACCAAAGAAATATCAAAACAAGAAAAAGTATGAATCATTCAATTACTTACTACGTACACTGGTCCCACCCCACTTTCTATGCAGTTTCACTTTCCATAGTTCAAATATATTAAGTGAAAAACTTCTGAAATAAACAATTCATGTTTTAAATTCAACAACCTTCTAAGTAGCGTGATGAAATCTTACACGGAATGGCTCTGTTCTGCCCAGGACATGAATCATCCCTTTGTCTAGTGTATATTCATTCCATAAGCTATCCACCCTTAAACATTTAGTAGCCTTCTGGGTTATTAGACTGTATTCAATGCTCGTGTTCAAGTAACCCTTATATAACTTAACAATGGCTCCAAAGCCATTCACAGAACTTTTATTACAGTATATTTTACAACTGTTCTCTTTTATTACTAGTTATTGTTAATGTTTACTGTCTAATTTATACATTAAATTTTATTATAGGTATGTATGATTAGGAAAAATAGTATACATGGGGTATTATCTGTAGTTTCAGGTATCCACTGGGAGTCTTGGGACATACACCCAGTAGATAAGGGGGACTACGCAGTCAGCACTATGTTAACACTTTTGGGGAATAAAAAAATAATAAAACACAGTCCCTGTTCCCAAAGAGCTTACATAGAGAAATTCTATGTAACATACCATTTAAATAACAATCCAAATAAAACAGGAATGAAACCAAGGGATGAATGGATGTGGGTGCAAGTGGTTGAGAAGGTTTTATAGCCAAGGCTGGACCTTAGCCAGACCCTAAAAAGTAGAGTTTTAATAGGGAGAAACTGAGAAGAGCATGAACAAAGGCCAGAAGGTAAGAGAGAACATAGTGGCCCAGCACTCAGCGAGGAGACTAGACAAGTATGAATCATTCAATTACTTACTACGTACACTGGTCCGTAGTAAGTAATTGAAGGGACTAAGTAAAGTAGAGGAGAAAGGTTGCATCAGTCATGTTGGGGAGAGTCTTAAATGCTATCCTTAATTTTAAGTCATGAAATGTTTGTGAACATGATTAACATATTTCAATATTTAATCTGGAGCATGACTTGAAATGTATTTTCATAAGAAACTGTTTTAGAAGTAATTAGAGGAAGAGTCAGAACTGGAGGAATAAAGAGTAATTTCAGAAGTGATGTAGACCAGAGATTCTCAAAGTGGCCCATAGATCCCCTTGGGGGTCTCTGAGATCCTTTCACAGAATCTGTACGGTTAAAATTATTTTCATCATACTACTAAGATGTTACTTAGCTATGTTAAGATGCACTGTGTTCACACTGAGGGCACAAAAATAATGGTGAATAAAACTGCTAGTCAAGACAGTGGGACCAAAGTATACTGGTAGCACTGCATTCTTTTTTTTTTACAGCTCTATCTATCTATCTATCTACCTACCTACCTACCTACCTACCTATCTATAAAAGCTTAAGCGACCGTTATGACTGAACAACCGGTTGACCAGTCACTATGACGTACACTGACCATCAGGGGGCAGACGCTCAACACAGGAGCTGCCCCCTGGTGGTCAGTGCACTCCCACAGGCAACCTCTCGTGGCAGACCAACCTCCCCCTGTCCGTCCCATGGCTGGCCAACCTCCCGCGGTCCCTCCCGCAGGCCTGCCGGCCCTGACCCGCCCCGATCAGGGCCAGCCAGCCAATCTCCCATGGTCTGTACCCAATCCGGTATCCCCTTCTGGCAAGCTGGCCAACCTCCCATGGTCAGTCCCTCCACCCCGTTGACTGGCCAACCTCTCGTGGTTCCTCCCCCAAGCTGGCCGACCAACCTCCTGCAGTCCCTCCCCCCAGCTGGTAGACCCCAATTGGTCCAGCTCCAATTGGGACTGGGCGAGATGGCCCCGATGGCCCTGATTGCCAGCCAGGTGGAGGGATCCCACCCATTCACAAATTCGTGCACCAGGCCTCTAGTTAAGATATAACTAATGATACAATAAACAGCATATATATTAAGTGTATAATTTGGTGAATTTTTACATATATATATACACACACACACATATATGAAACCATTACTACAATTAAGATGAGAAACATTTTGATCATGTCCAAAAGTTCCCCAGTGACTCTTTGTAACCCATCTCTTCCTATTCCCTCATTCTTAGACAAGTACTAATCTACTTTCTGTCCATTTATTTATGAGTTCTACAATTTCATACAAATGGAATCATATACTCAGTACTCCTTTTTCATGCTAACATTAATCCAAAGGCAAATCAAACAAAGTTGACTTTACACAAAGTAGATATCAAAACAAGGAAGAACCCAGGAGAGACAGTCATTGCATCATGATAAAAGATCAATATATTAAGAGGAAATAATCATCCAAAATGTGCATGAATCTAATAGTTTCAAAATACACAAAACTAAAACTGATCAATCTTAATTGAAAAAGAAACAAATACACAATTACAGTTGAGAAATTTCAACACCTTTCTCTATATAATGGGCAAAACAAGTGCACAGAAAATTAGTAAGGATACAGGAGACTTGAACAATACCTTATATTTATAAAAAACAACAACAAAATACACATTACTTTCAAGTTCACCTGGAACATTTATCAAGACTGACTATATTCTGGCCCATAAAACCATAAACTTAAAAGGAGTGAAATCATACAAAGTATATTCTCTGATTATAATGGGATTAAACTGGAAATCAGTAACAGAAAGATAGCTAGAAAACCTCCAAATATTTGGAAACTAGACATTATACTTCATAAGCATAGAATAAATCACAAGGAAAATTAGAAAATATTTTGAATAACATCTGCCTTCTTCCATTTATTCCTTTTTGGAAATTCACCACCAAACTGGGGGACTGCATACCAACAAAATTGTAAGCATTGTTAGGTTTTCGAGTTAAGACTCTTGCTGTAGTGTGGATAGCTGTGATTGGTGAGTCAATTGCCTGTGGCTTCCAGTTACACCAAGATTGTAACAGCATTTTTACGTTTTGCACAACAAAGAAGCTTTGTAAATAACATTTTAACATGTAAAAAAGAAAAGAAAAAGGAAATATTATGAACAGGATGAAAATGATTTTGGAAATTTGTATCCTGAAACCCATAAACTTGAAAGCTTCCTAATACTTAAGTCTTTTTGATGAGAATGGTAATATTAGCAAGTCACTTTTTTTATGATGATGCATATAGAAATGTGTCAATAGTTGAAAACCTACATAACTCAATAAACCAGTATTTTCCAAATGGCTGATGAACGGTATTATAAAAGCTTCATTCTATACAAGAGAGACCAATGGAGTTTATTGTGAGAGTGCAAAGAGTTCAGTGATTATGGGTTCAGACTCTACTGCAACAAACAAATCTTTTGAGAAATAACTCCTTGTCAAGTTTGGCAGAGTATTTTTAAAAATCCACAACTATCTAAAAAGGCTGCTAAAAAACTATTTTCAGCTGCATATGCATGAGGTAAGATATTCTTCATATACTTCAAATAAACCAATAAATTACAAAAGACTTAATAAAGAAACAGATAGAAGAATCCAGCTGTCTTCTATTAAAGCAGACATTAAAAAGACTTACAAAAATGTAAAATAATACCACTCCTCTCAGAACTTACAAGTCTGAGTATAGTTATTTTCATTAAAATGTTACTTATGTTCACATATGAGTTTATTTAAAAGGAATTAATAAATACTTTAAACATTGATCAGTTTTAATGTTTAACTAAAGACAGAAGAATACTTGAAACAATAAGTAATACGGCTAAGTGGCCAACTGAGTTATAGCAGTAAAAGTAAAATGGTAAACAACTTTGGTACCTGATGTAAGAACACTTGGTACTCAGAAAACTCTGAGCTAAAAAATAAAACAGCCCTGACTGGTTTGGCTCAGTGGATAGAGCATCAGTCTGTGGACTGAAAGGTCCCAGGTTTGATTCCAGTCAAGGGCATGTACCTTGGTTGCAGGCACATCCCCAGTGTGGGATGTGCAGGAGGCACCGGATCCAAGTTTCTCTCTCATCGATGTTTCTAAGCCTCTATCCCTCTCCCTTCCTCTCTGTAAAAAATCAATAAAAGTATATTTTTAAAAAAAATAAAAAATAAATAAATAAAATAATCTCAATAGATTTGGTTTTTCATAGCAGATTTACCTGCTCTAATCCGGAGATTTAATTACCATAATGTGCGCAGACAGAAAACTCATTCAACTAAAAAGATCAGATTTTATAAGGGCTCAATTAGAATTCCAACACAATTCCAAAAGACTGTTTTTATGTCCACACTTCATGGACTGGATACGTGTATGCCCAGTGCTGTTATGCCTGGGCTGAGATAGATAACTGATGGGGTCGGATCTGAGATACATCCAAGGCGGAGTGAGCCTAGACTGAGCTTAAATGGAATTCCTTAATTCTGGCTGTGGAGTTCCCACAGAACTGAATGTATTAGACCCTCTGGAGGCAGTGAAGCAGAGAAGCAGTTAAAGGTTGCAGGGCAGACAGCTCGGGTTACTCTTTTCTTAGTTGTATATTTTCAAAAGCTTTTTCACTTAACCACTTTGTGCCTCATTTTTCTTAAAATAAGGATAATTATTAAATCATAGGGTTACTGTGAGGATTATAAATGTAAAGTACTTAGAAAAGCATCAATTATAAGTACTTGATAAGTATTATTATTACACAACATTTTGCCTGAAATTTAGAGTAAAAAAGTACTAATCTAATCTACAGATTGAGTGGGGGATATAAGAAATAATAATGAAATACTCTAAAAGTTAACTATGATATTTAAAAGGTCCAGGGTTAAACATCCATAAAGCGATCACAACTAAGGTTGTAAGAAAAAAATTACCTCAAAATTATCATTTAAAAATAAGTAAAGAGTAGATTTGGTATAGACTTTGGATTCAGAAAGCATCTATGAAATGTTTTTAAAACTGATGGATTTCTTTCATGGTTATGAGAATAAAAATATATCCTCACCTAACAATTATGAAACAGGTGAGATAATTTTCATTTTTTAAATAAAAAGCAAAAAATAAGCATTTAAAAATTTAATAAAGAAATCTACAAAGTATTAACAATTATATCATAGTAATTACGTAAACATCAGCATCTACACCTTGATTCAAAGTGAAAAAACAAAACAAAATGCAGGCTGCATTAAAAACTTCTCAGGAGTCCAAGGCCTACAGCCTATGTGAGAGGGAAGTCCAGAGAGGGAGTGGTGGTAACGGGCAGGAGGGGAGGAGAAAGGGGTGAACAGCTGGCAGTGACGGCTAAGACTTCTCTCCACAAAGGATGGGCAGGGTAAAGGACTCTGGAGCCTTGACCAGACTGTGGGCAAGGCAAAGTCATCCTAACAGCTTCAGGGACTACTCCCATTCATGGCTCAGGCCTAAGACACCCACCCAGAAATCAGAGCAGGGAGTTTGCAAAATCACTCCACAAAATAAACTGGCAGTCTGCAGCAGAAAATACTTAAAAGAAAAGAGGATATTGTAGCCTGCAAAGTCTGCTGTCAATTATGTCAACACATGGCAAAGAACTTCCACATTCTTACTTCTGCAAGTACGCCCACACTTCTGCAGGACTTCTACAACCAAATACAACAATAAAGTGGGAACCAGCACCTGACCCAGGCCTTAAATCTGCACTAAACCCTCAGAACAGGGAGAGATGGAAGCAGCAGCTTGGAGTGCTTCTTCATGTAATCAGCTCTGTACCTCTGTCTCACCAGAATGAATGAAAACTTCTATGTAGGTCAAAGGAAATGAAGTGTTATACATAATCTGTGCTTCTAATACACTCCAAACCAGCTTGGGGGCTGTTTAAAGGCACAGGAGAAAGTGCATAGGAAATCTGATGAGTAGAAAACCAGTGAGAAGGTTGCTCATGTGTGTGTGTGTGTGCCCAACATTTCGCTTCTCTTGAACAAATCTTTTTGGCTAGAGTGGATAAAACACTTAACACCCACAGTGAACCTCTTTTAAGAGAAAAATGACAGTGAGGAAAAATGGTACCAGGGAATTTCTCAAGAATAAATTATTACCGTGATTAAAAGCAATGTGTTGACTTACCTGGAAAATATCTGTCTTGTCTTCAAATAGACTGACAACATATTTATAGTCAGCATAAGCCCAGAATTTGGAATAATCATAATCTATAAATGGTCCAGAAATACTAGAGTGATCACAGTTCCAGGTCAGAAACTCTTCAAGTGTAGCTTCTACGTAACTACATGAAGTTTCAAACTGAGGAACTGCAAAGTAAGAGAACCCAACTTTAAATGTATTTGAAACAGTTTCCAAAATTGTTTTTTAAAAAATATTTTCAACCAAAAATGTTAACTATAATTTCAATTAATTAAAAATTAACTTGGCACTTGCTATATAATTAAAATCACTTACAACTTTCACAATGCTATTGTGGTACATATATACAATGGAATATTACTCAGCCATAAGAAAAGATAAAATACTGTCATTTGTGACAACATGGATGAGTTTTGAGAATATCATGTTAAGCGAAATTAGACAGGAAAGTCAGGAACCATATGAATTTAACCGAATGACCGAACACAAGAACAACCATCCAGACAACATTCCCGATGACCACGCTATGACACGCACTGGCACCAGGCCAGCCAAGGCAGGTGTGATGTGACTGTCTGGGGGGCCTGCCATTGCTCCACGATTGCCCAGAGGGAGGCCCAGGCCACAAGTCAACGGGGCAATCAATCGGGTGGCTCCACGATTACCTCGCAAAGGGAGGCCCAGGCCACCTGCTGCAGGACAATTGATGGGGGGGAGGGGGCGCTCTGCGGAACCAGGGAGCCAGGGGGGTGTGGTGGCGGATGCGGGCACCACCAGGCCAAGGCAGGTGCGGGTCGGGGGCGGGGTTGCGAGGCAGCACGGTTGCGAGGCAGCTGGGGCTGCAAGGGCCTACCCTTGCACCAATTTCGTGCACTGGGCCTCTTGTATGGGATATAAAACTGGAAGTAACAAATGAACAAATAAAACAAACAAAAACTCAAAGACACAGACAACTGTATGGTGGTTACCAGAGGAAAAGGGAAGTGGAGGGGAGGTGTCAAAGGGTAAAGAGGATCAAACACATGGTGATGAAAGAGATTGAACTTTGGGTCGTAAATACATAATGTAATATACAGATATATTATAGAATTGTAACTTGTATAATTTTATTAACCAATGTCACCCCAATCAATTTAATAAAAATATTTTAAAGGCACTATTGAATTAAGCATTCATTTTTAAATAAAATAGTAAAATATTCTAAGATTTTTTTATAAAAAGACACAGTTTTAACCTTAGAACTAAAAACTATCCTTACTATTGGCTGATTCAGTTGTTAAACAACAAAGCCAAAAGCTCTTCTGAAAGAAAGCTTTTATTAAGATATAAAAAAGAAATCATTAAGTTATTAAAAAATATTAGAATATTTATTTTCAGACCTGGCTGGCATGGCTCAGTGTTTAGCGATGGCCTATGAACCAGGAGGTCACAGTTTGATTCCCAAGTTGGGGGTTCGATCCCAAGTGGGGGGCATGCAGGACGCAGATCAATGATTCCCTCTCATCACTGATGTTTCTCTCTCTCTCTCTGAAATATAAAAATATTTTTAAAAAATATTTATTTTCAGAATACAGAAGAAATTTCTAATAAATAGGATTAAAAATATTAATGAAATATATGATTTGACTATGTAAAAAGGTAAAAATAATGAAGCAAAATCAGAAGGCAAATAATAAGATGGGAAACACATTATGTATCCTTGTAGAAACTGCATTCTTGAACATGATCCATTCTCCTTTCTGCCAGTCCTCTCTTTTTTAATGCTTAAGTCCTTAGGACATCAGACTCCAGTCAGCATCAACTGTCTTAAGAATGAAGCCTCAAGTCTGTTGACCACAGAAACAGGGCTGTGGTAAAACCAACCACACATCTTGACCTCAGTTGTGTTTCAGTCCCAGGCCCATAAAGTAGAAGGACTCCACAGACCACACCCTCACAGCGCTAGGCAGAACAACGCCATGGCTGACCTCAGGACCTAACACAATGATCAACTACTCCCTACCTTGGCCCCAACCAATCAGGAGAGCCTACAACCCCAACTCCCTAAATCACCATGATTACTAATTTTCCCCATTCGTAATCTGTCCCTGTGTGGTTCCTTCTGGAGCCAGGTTTTAGAGCACTAGCTTACCTGTGACTCTCAGCTTGTGCCATTTCCTTAAATAAATCTTTAAATAAATCTTTAAAATAAATCTTTACTTTCTTTGCTGTAAACTCTTGGTCACATCTTATTGGGCTTTGATGGGTGCTAGCAAATGGACCCGTTTAGTCTGGTAAGATCAGTAACAAACACAGCATTCTTAATATGTAAGGCACTTATTAAAAAAACCCCCACACACCTCAAAAACCTGAAAGCCCAATAAGGAATAGTCAGAGAAAAATTACCAGAAAGAAAATACAAATTGCCACTAAATATGAACACATGTTCAACACCACCAGCAACCAAAAAAATGTTAATTAAACTCATGAGATGTTACTTTTCACCTATCAGCAAGATTGTTTTCATTTCTTTTTAACTGAATTTATTGGAGTGACACTCGTTAATAAAATTATATAGGTTTCAGCCTGCCCGGCGTGGCTCAGTGGTTGAGCGTCGACCTATGAACCAGGTCAGGGTTTGATTCCGGCCCGGGGCCCATGCCCGGGTTGTGGGCTCAAACCCCAGTAGGGGGTGTGCAGGAGGCAGCTGATCAATGATTCCTTCTCGTCACTGATGTTTCTATCTCTCTTTCTCCCTCTCCTTTCCTCTCACTCTGAAAATCATTTTTAAAAATATTGTAAAATATTTTTAAAATAAAAGGTCTATCTATCTATCTATCATCTATTTTAAAAACAATTATATAGGTTTCAGGATACAGTCTATAATACATCATCTGTATGTTGTATTGTGTGTTCACCATCCCAAGCAAGATTATTTTTTGAAAAGTGCTGTCTGCAAAGAGCTGGGCCATAGTATCAGAGGTCTTTCATTCTTTCACCCCACACATATCTGAATGTCCATTAGGAGCTCATCCACGATGAGAAAGTGAACTTCTTCATGGGAAGAGAGACTCTGAACAGTTCATTACTGACATAACTAGTCAGTTATCATAACTATGCTAAATGTTACTAAGAAACAGTAGTTGCTCTGAATAATTTAAGAGTCACACATTTGGGGGTAGGGGAGGGAGATGTGGTCAGGAAAGACTTCCAGGAGAAAATGCTATTTGAGCTAACATCTGAAGGAAGATCTGAAGGCAGAAAAGAAATTAACTAGGTAAAGGTGGAGTAAGAAGTAAGAGGAACAGAGAGAAGCATGGCTAGACTACAGATGCAAAGGCCCTGAGGTAAGAAACAAACCTCTGGAAATACAAAAAAAGCAGAAATACTTGTTTGGCTTGAGCTCAGGAAGAGGGATTAAGCTGATGAGACAAATACAGCTTTCTACACCAAAACAAAATTTTGACCTTTAGTTTAAAGGTAATGAGAAGCCATTTAAGGGTTTAAGCAGAGAAATAAGATGAGTTTAAAAAACAAAAACTTCTCTGGTTTCAGTATAAGAATAGCCTAGGTAGGGAGAGCAGGAGGTACAGTGGGACTATAGATGAGGCTAGTGGGATGAGAGAAAGCAGGGTAACCCCAACTAGAAGATGGTTATGGAGAAAGAGAGAAGCAGGACACCACTTAAGAGAGGCATTCCCGAACGCCTCAGAGGGTTCTTGTGTTAAGAAGTGCCGGGAGCCAGTCCATCCTTGCTGTTTCAAGGGACCTGGCATATAAGGCATACTATTCTTAATATGTTTGCTCACCTTCTTGGCACTATGTGTTTTAACCAAGGTCACCTCTCCGAGAAAGGTTGTTTCCCCAGGTAGGGATTTTCCCCTGAAGTTTGGGAGGGAATAAAACCTCTTAACCCCTTCCCCAGCAGAA